CACGGGCTGGATCGAGATGGTCCAGTCATGCCCAGCTCCTTCCTCCTCCTCCTCTGATAGAGCACTCTTGCGATGCTGACACTGCCAACCTCCAGTATCCTCACCCTCGCAGACGATGTGTATCTCGGCCTCTTAATCTATTACCTGAGAATGAAGGGGTTTAGCTTGTTGCTTTAAATAAACTCTGAAGGGCCTTACTCTGGACTTTGTGAATGCTTCCATTTCTGGTTGCCTTTGTATTTCTTCTCTCCTACAGAAAATTTAAAAAAAATCGGGGACTTTGTGCATGTTTTGCAAAACAAACTACACCATTGGGAACATGTTGGTTTTGTTTGTGTATCAAAAGAACACTTTAATCCTTACCGTTTGAACTATGGCAACACATACAAACAGTATTAACTCCAAGCTATTTACAGAGTAGCTGACTTCAACATGCCTGCCCTTTTTTTTTTTTTCCTTTTATTTTTGGAATCAGTTTAGTGTGGTCTTGAATTTTTTTTCTTTTTTGTATACTGCACTGACAAATGTGAAATAAATTTTCAAAATGAAACATGCCTTCGAGAAGTTGAGTAAAGGATGATACTTGATCAACTCCTACAAGAAAAAAAACATTCCTCTGTACACAGCAGCAAAACAGTTTGGAGTGCTTGGTTACTTAAGACTTTTCCATATTGCTGTATAAATATTTAAATTTTATAATTGTGGTTGACTAATAAACTTCTTCTAAAAGGTCTGTATTAATATGCTTTTTCTTGTAATATGTTTTTGGTTGGGTTTTTTTGTTTTTGTTTTCAAACAGGCTTCTGATGAAGGAGCTTTTTTCATTCAGGTAGTCATTGTTTTGCTTTGTGAAATTGTGCCATTCTGGATGTGCAGCTGTGTATTACTTTTTTCTGCCACAGAGTGTGCTCATGATTTCTCTCCTGGGTGTGTTGGTCTGCAGAGATGGGTAGTGTTGCTGGATTTCAAATTACCTCAATTTTCCTGTGATTGAGTAATTCAGTTAGGACATTTTAAAGAAATAATACTGACTTTGAAGCCTCCGTTTTTGATGCATCAGCAGAGGAACATCATTGCTGTGGGTCAGCATGGTCATGTTAATTCAAACTTTGGCCGGTGTAAGACAGGTGGGAGGATAAAACTGGAAAATGCATGGAATTGCTGGGGAGTAGCATTACTGCACAGGATGTACTTGCTGGGCCTATTCAACAGATCTTAGGGGAAAGGAAGGACAAATGCGGGCTGTATGCGGCAGAAAGCCCAAGTGTGATAGTGCATTTCTGTGTGCTTCAAAATGGGGTTATGCTGCTTCCTGCACTAGACCCCTCATACAAGCTAAGGGAGGGGGTAACTTGCATGCTTCCAAAACCATACCAAGCTCCTGTGAGCTTCACTTGTATTTGCTCAGAGACTATATTGCTCAGACACACCATGTTTGTATTTTGATTTATCTCAGGAGTTTTAATTTACTAAAAAATCCCTAAGAGGTAACAATGGTGTTACAGGGTGCTTGCTGATGGTGCCTGGAGGTAGGGCTGCTGGTAACCTTCAGTCAATAGGAACAGAAAAAAAAAAAAGGGTAGTAAAAGCAGGTACTCAGACCTTTTAACCAAAAAGTTAACTTACATGGAACAATGCCATACTTTTAATGGTAAATAACAGAAATGTTCCATGACTGAAAACTAAGGTTTAAATGGGAGTAGGAAGTAACAATATTTCTCTGTAAGAGAATAAGTAAAAAAAAAAAAAAAAAAAGAGATTCATTCCTAAACCAGAACAACCTGTTTCTAGGTACACAACCAGCAGAATATATTTTTGAATGTTTAAGCCACTTGGCAGAATTTGTGTCTTAACCCTTTAAAAAGTCACTCCTTTCAGTAGTGCAATCGATCTTCATTTCCTACTGCATTTCTATTTCTACCAGGAAAAAAAAAATAGCTCCATCCTAAGCAGCCATCAATAAAAGCCAGATGGCAGCATCTAGATACGCTGCTCTTTTCCTATGCTGAAAGTTTGTGCTGTGAGACTCTACTGTGTCTGACAGGTAGGCCTTGATTACTGCAGTGTAACAAAAAATAGTGTAAAATATATTAAAAGATAATTCTTTACATGTAACCATCCTCGATAAGATCGATCTAAGGGAAAGATTCCTGCTTGCAGGGTTTTTTTTCCTTTAAATTTGCTTCTGTTACTGTTTTGGAGCCCAGAATAACCAGTTACAGTAATAGTAAAGAAAATGACCATTTTTTTGCAGCTTTTAGTATATTTGTTAATAGTTGATTCAGCATGGTCACACTATTTTCCTCTGTACTAAGCATGTCTTATTATTAGATACCCTGACTAATTCCAGTGACATTTCTTGCTCATGGAACATGCTGTTACAGTATCAGGGCAAACAAGTCACATTTCCAATGGACTGCCCATATACTTCAACAAATGAACTTGACACTGGTCTTGAGGCTGATGCTTCTCTTTACCGTGCCTGCCATTTTGCATTCATGTCTTCTCCAAACCAGGACTTTTCTCTCCATATCCTTGACTACCCACCTCTGCTTCCTCAAACTCATGCTTCCCTCTTTATTATTATTGCTTGCTCCCATGACTTCATACTAAAGCCAGGCTTTATCCTGGCTCAAACCAGGACAGAACTGTACTTCTGTGTAGGATCTGGGATCTTGAGCATAAGCAGCAGAACCCCTAGGAGTGAGGGAGATTATAGCAGGTACTTGCGGTATTTTAAACTTAGCTAGTACTTTGTAAGGCTGCTGTCCCTTGTACTCTTCTGAAAGAAGACACAATCATGGAATCAATTACGTTGGAAAAGGCCTCCAAGATCATCAAGTTCAACCATCAACCAGGCACTGAACCATGTCCCTAAGCACATCTACCTACCTGTTAAATACCTCCAGGGATGGTGACTCCACCGCTTTCCTGGGCAGCATGTTCCAGTGCTTGACAACCCTTTTGGGGAAGAAATGAAGAATGTTTCTTAATATCTAATCTAAACCTCTCCTGGCACAATTTGAGGCCATTTCCTCTTGTCCTATCAATTGTTACGTAGGAGAAAAGACTGACCCCTACCTCACCACAACCTCTTTTCATGTAGTTGTAAAGAGCAATGAGGTCTTCTTGAGTTTTCTTTCTCCAGACTTTCTCCAGTTTACTCAGATGCTCTTCCTAAGACTTCTGCTCCAGACCCTTCACTAGTTTCATTGCCCTTCTTTGGACATGCTCCTGTGGCTCAGTGTCTTTCTTGTAGGTGCGTGGCCCAATATGCATTACAATCACAGAAGCACAGAATGGCTTGGGTTGGAAGGGACCTTAAAGATCATCTAGTTCTAAGCCCCCTGCATGGGCAGGGACACCTCCCACTTTGCCAGTTTACTCCAAGCCCCGTCCAACCTGGCCTTAAACACTTCCTGGGATGGGGCATCCACAATTTCCCTGGCCAACCTTTTCCAGCATCTCACAATTAGCCTGTATATCGTTTCTGTGCTTGGAACACATCTCAGCTTGAACTTCCAGTAGAAGCTCTTGGGTCTTGTAGTAGCCAGGAGGTAGCTCTATTTTTTGTTTGTTTGTTTGTTGGGGTTTTTGGTTGCTGTGGCTTGTTTGTTTGTTGGTTGGTTGGTTGGTTTGTTTTTAACATATTTGAAGGCAGTACAAACTTCTGATGATGCTGGGTGTGAGTTTTCACCCTCCTGCTGGCTTTCTGCAACCCCCACACCAGGAGGGATAGGATTCTGTAGGAGTGCGTGGTAAAAACGTCACACGGAGTAAGACTGAGCTCGATTTAGATCTTTTCAAGCCGTCATACACACATACAGGGCTGTTCGGAAGGCATCTACTGCCTTCTCATCCCCTACCTAAAAAATGTGACATTTACGATTTAAAACTGAAAATAAAACTTCCACGTGGCGTACAAACGCTGCACGCCGTTCAACCAAGGGACTCACGCAGCAACAACACGACAGAAAACGCAGACAGGGACACGAAGAACGCGGGCCGTACGAATACGTGATGTCACCGAAGAGGCTGAGCCCCGGCTCCTCAGGCACCAGCGGCCGCTCGGGGGCTCCTCCGGCGGACCCCGCGCTACTCACCGGCGCCGGGGCTCAAACCTGTGCGGTCCGTACGGCAGCACC